TTCCCACTATCTTCTCCCTGCACAGATCTGGCACTTTCCTGAACACCAGAGACTGGAGTACCACAGCTACAGCACACTGTTTCACTGCATCCCCAGCCTGCAGAGGTGGAGGCTGCTGGCTTAGAGTTCCCTTCTCCTCAGAGAAGGAGCACAGAGTTTCCTAATGTTTTTGTAAAAGAGGGTATGTCCTGGAATTTACACAACACACATGCTGTTTTCAAATCACTGAACCACAGAGCAGAGCTACAAACTCTCCCCACACTCTGGCAAGTCCCAACCCCTGAAGAGATAGGGGAATACTGTTACTGATGTATGTGTTTAGGTGGGGCAAGAATGGGAAGACTGTGGGTAGGCTAATGACAACAAACACCAACAGAAGAGGTGCCTTGAGTGGTTCTTCATTTTTCATAATTAGAGTTGGCACTTTTTACTGTCCTGCTGCTGGTTAAATTAAGCCTGCAAAATATTAAATTCAATTACCCATAAAATAATTATTTCAGTATTAAAACAGACATAATTTTTGCAACATAAAGATGAAAGCCCACACTTGCATGCTATCTGTAAAAATCAGTGGTCAGACAGTACTTACCTCACTAAGTGTCAATATTTACTAAAATGTTCAAAGAAAGATATTTCAATCTGATGAAATCAATTCAATCAATTGATGATCAATCAAATCAGTTCCCAATGGAGATTCAGCATTTTAATTTTTTAGTAACATATTTTAATGGACTATGAAATTGTCATGTACTTTGGTCTGCACTGTAGTTCCTTTCTAATCAGTGCTGATTACCAAGTTATTTGTATCTGGCAGACTTGATTTCATTTTGTAATCATCCTTTCGATTCCCTTCAGAGATTCAACAGTACATTCTGATTTCTGTAGCTAAGACATTATATCTGCTGAGTCCAAAGCAACAGTCCTGAGAGGTATCTCTGGCATTTTCAGAACTACCATCTCCTTTCACCTGTGTTTCTGTTTTCAAACCAGGGATGACAACAATTTATGTGCTTCTGTCTGGACTTTTGAATATAATGATGAAAAGCATTTTGGAAGAACACAGGGCTCTTACTAACACCTCACGTTTCTGATGCTGGTGTAGGTGATAGCTGCAGATTGGGTGTCTGACCATGCAGCCCCACACAGCTGGAGCCAAAGTGGAATAGGAGCATGAGAGTGTGAATAAGCACCTCAAACCTTGACTATTCTACCTAGAGACAAACTGGTAAGGCTTCAACCAACCCCAAAGTCCAGGTGTAGCATGAAAATCAGTGATATCATTCAAGGGAAATGCTTTCCTCTTCTTCATGCCAGGAACAGAGAGGTAAACAGAAACTTGAGAAAGGTGTCTAAATCATAGTATTCACTACCAACAGCAAAAGTTAAATTGCCCATAGCTTTTCTAGCTGAAAGTATTCCGTGTGGAAGCAGGGTCTATAAAGTCACATCCATTTGCAGTTTGGGGAACTACAGTTAAACACATCATATTCCATTAATATCAGCAGGAACATATTTATTTTTATAGGCCAGTAGAGAGACTAATGGTAGAGTGAGTGCACACAGCATACGTTTTCTACTTGCTCTCCACTGGGAACAGTAGCAGGCAGGCTTGGGTCTGAAAAGAGAGACCTAGATTGTATTTGGTGCAACACAGGTTGCAGAATGGATTGAGGCATTCTGCATAGAGGCAAAATGTTACCTTTCAGAGATGTTACCTTGCAAATGACAAGTAAATTCCCACTCTGTCCCTGGAGCTTGACTTTGCAGCTTCTAATAAAAACACCTCACCACATGGAAGATGTCCATCGTCACAAAGCACTGCCCTTTTGTTATACTTCCAGAGATACTGAAAATCTGTCAGGAACTGTAAGGCTAGCTTGCAAGTCTTATATTTGTAAAATCATTAGACCTAAGTGCAGTGTGTGGAAAATGCTGCTTCCAGTAGAGTAAACAGAGAGTTTCATCCCCACAGCACACAGAGCACCAGAGAAGAACAGTGAATCAATTACACTGTGTTGTCTTATTATCACGTATCTTGCTGTAGTCTTCTTTGGTTGGCTGCTACATCTTTGATGTGACAGCTCTAATGGATGTAGTAGACCATTATTTAGTCCATCAGCCATTCTATGTATGTGGCTAAGCTATGTTAAAAACCCTTGCCTTTATTTTTTTTGGGGGGGGGTGGGGGGGTGGGTGGGTTGTGAAGAGGGGACTATTAACATTTACATATACAAAAATTCTTCCTATTTTAAGTTCTTCCGCAGGACAATTAGGTATCCCTGGTGATTGATCAGTTTCAAATGATCACATGTAATGCTGTAACAATCGATCTTCTCCTTTGCTGTCTGCAGGTTGTGCTGAGAATGGTTACAGATTCCTATGAAATCCCATTCCACAAAACCACTTAGCTGACTGGGCTGACTGTGCAGCCATTTGGGGACTATTACAATCAGTGCACAAGTGCTCAGATTTGGTCCCAGCAGCCACAGCAATAAACCTGTATTCCCTGCCGACAGACCTGCCATTACCCACACTGTGATTGCTGGTGTACTGCATGGGGTAAGAGAGATCAAAAGGTTGTTGCAGGGGCAGAGGGATCTGCCTGAAGAAGGACTAAAGAGTGGTTGTCCTAATGGAAGCTTGAAGTGCTCAAAGTGGCCTGTTCTCCTGTTTAGCAATATAACAGGGGTTACTTCAGACTCTCTTTGAAGCACTAGTCTTGCAACAGAAAATGTAACATAAATCATAATGCAATCACAGAACAATGTGTTCACCCCAGCTGCCAAGTACAGAAGGGAGGAAAATATTCAGGAAAGATCTGACACAGACAGAGAGCTCAGGGAAGGAGGGAGAGAAAGGGAGTGAGAGCCTGGCCTGAGAAGACCTTTTGAAGCCCTAGATCCTACAAACTTATCAGGCACTGAATGTCTTGAGCATCTCAATCTTCCTCTGAAGCAAGGAAGAAGAGGAACCCACAGAAGCCTACTACAGGACATTGGTATTTCTAGGTACTTGCAAATATTTTGGGGATATGCTGTCTGGGAGGGCAAGGAGCCAAGTAGAATATATCAATCTTGCTTGTTGTATAAACAAGAGGCTCATGCACAGCTGTCGGTGCTGCAGCTGCTGTGCTGGTGGAGCATGTATGAGAACGGCTGAGAAGCCACCAGGAGCAGAGGACAGGAAGAGGTGGTGCTGCTGAAGACCAAAAAAGCATCGGAGCAGCGTGAGGGCTGTCACTTTTTAATGCTAATATTCTCAGGTCTCTGGAGCAGACACTACCCCCTAGCAAGGCTAGTCAACAACTAATAGCCTTTTTCTTCCACATGTGAGGAATAGTTGCAGAATGGTCTGTGGGCTAACTCAACAGTGTTTTTCTCCTCGTGTGGAAGGGTTTAGACAGCAAATAGAATTAAAACCTGAAATATTCTGACTACAAAAATGTACTGGTATAAGTTTTACCATCTGTGAGCAACAGGATGCAGACTGTACAAACTCAGAAACCTGCAGACAGCTAGGTTACCATCATTTTATATTTTATGTGCATATATATATATATATATATATACATATATATACACATACATTTCACAGTATTTTGTGTACACAAAAATACATATATGTATGCATACCTACATGTACAAATGCATACAACTTGTTTTCATATCACTTCTGCTTCCTAGCTGCATGAAAGGAGATGAGTACAGTGGCTACTCCAGCTTAAGGAGGTGATCTTCTCTTTTTTAGTTTTAATTTTACTCTTCATCACTTAGGCCGTAATTTTCTTATCAAGACCTTATTTGTCACAGCTGCCAGACCAGTTTAAAAGATAAAACTTGAACAAGCCACAAAGCAAAGTTCAGAAAAAGAGTATTTTAAAAAGTTTTTCTGGTAATTTTTCTAAGTTTATTTCCCAGAACAATTTTTTTTATACAGCAGTATTATTCATAGGCAGTTTCCAGAGCAGCAGGATGGGCAATCAGGAGCACATAGGCAATGCACTACCATCACAGATTCAATATGACCTTTCCTATTTCCTCTCTGCCCAAAAAGGCTGTTGTCATTCCACAAAAAGAAAAATCTGGCCACACATACTGATTGCCAATCAGATTTTCCATGGCCACCTCCTCTCTCCTTCTACAATGGAGCAGCATGGAAATATTTAAATTGATGTAAAGATAGATGTTGTGGATCCTGAAGTGGGTGCTTGGTTGAAGCTGAAGCAGACTTCAGCTCATTCCATGAAACCCTCTCTGTTTTATTAGTTGAACCCAAATTTTTCCCTTTTGGTGGCATGGAGGTAACTTTCTTTTTCTAGACTGAATATCTTCACTGTCACTGAACAAAGTCCATGCCCAAACCAAGAGTAGATTTTTCCCTTTAATGCAAGCCTCTTTACCATATTTTGAGTGTATTTTGTGCACAAGCAGAGCACTAAAAACATCATAAAAACAGATTTGCAGCAGGAAAACACTGGAAAATAAAATATTAGCCCTGTATTGCTCCTGTCCAACTCATACCAACCTCTTTGAGTTGCTGCACATTTGAAGTGCCTCCAAATACAAGACAGAATTTCAGGAAAATCTTATTGTCCTTCATGGTCATTTCCCAGACTCCCTGGTTCTTTATTTCTGAGACAGAAGGCACCCCCAGAAGTTCAAGATGAGTTAAATCAATTAAGCTCTGTGAGGTGATTTGCAGTTGCTGGATTGATGGCTCTGTGTAAATGTAAAGCAAATTCATGTCTTATTCCAGTACTCTTTCCAGGATATGATGAGGACTAACTACAGTTTCTTTTCCACTTCCAGAAAGAAGACCAAATGCACACTGCACCAAAGACATTTCCAAAGCCTTTGATAAAACACTCACTCTTCAGCTGGGAAGCTGCTAGGAGACAGCTCCATGATCATCCTTCCTAAGCCTCCCCCACATTCCACAATCCAGTCTGAAGGGTGACCTGATGTCAAACAAAGCCCTGCCAGAAAACGCTCGATGCTCACCTTGACAATAGATGCCTGACTGGATTTGGAGGACCCTGGGAAGGGCTCTGAGGTCCAGAGAATGAATGAACTTCTCCAGGGTAGAGGCCATGGTCGGCAGCACCGTAGTACTGTAGTACGCTGTAGTACGTGGCATGTAAAGACCAGTGAAAAGCTCTCAAGGCAGCAGCACCCTCAGCCTGGTGCATGCTGAGCTCGGGAGCTCCGCAGCAGAGGGGAGGAGTGGCATGGGGAGGTACTTCTGCTTTCTTCCCTCCGTGGCTGCTTCCTGCCATGGGTGCAGCTGGAGTGGGGTGAGACAGCTGGAGGCCCCCTCAGTGGTTCTGGCACCCATATCCACCAAGGGTCTGTGCCAGGCTGGGAGGTTGCTATGGGTACTGGGCTCCAAAGGGGAAAGGGGGATCTGCTACGAAACTCCATTTCATCAGCAATAGTTATTGACCCTGTGGAAAGAAGATACTGAATATCAGCCCAGCCTAGAGTGGGAAAAAACCCATCATATCTGGGTGAGGTGTTGGGGTTTTTTTTGGCTGGGTTTTTTTCCCTCTTGGAACACAACAAAATAGTTTGGTGTTCACTTCAAAACCATAGGTAGCCTTTGAAGAAAAGAAATTAAGCACTTTGCTGTCTTAAATATTTTATCTGGATTTAAGATATACAAATAGAATACAAATTGCTTCTTCCTCTAAACAAACATTTAAACACAATTCTGTTTTGCAAAATAGTCAGCATTTTCTTATGCCACCAATGATTTGTGGGAATTTGATTTTGAGGTGCTTCAGCTGGGAGGGAATTCTGAGACAGTACCAGGTGAAAATCAGACTGTGCTGGTGACAAACCTCCAGCACTGATCCCAGCTCTACCATTCTGAGCTTGATCAAGCACTGTTGTTTCAGCAAGGCACTTCTGAAGAACACGGTCATAGCAAATAAGCAGCAGACTCAGATCATAAGGAAAATTGAAGTGACTGTGATTTCATGTCTTTTGACACTGCTCTCCTGTCTCCTTGAGGGGTCAGGGAAAGTAGAAACATGACATTGTGACAAAACAGCGAGCAACCAGTTATTTTCAAAAAGCTTGCTAGTTTCATTTCCTCTATATGTAATATTTTTCAGGAGACAATATTACTCACATAATAAAAATTTTACAATTAAAACTCAGATTCTTTGAGTGGGGGCACTGGCTATTGAGGTGCTAGGCTACCTAGAGAGTCTGAAAAATTCGGTAACTTGGTCTTAACAAATATTTCTCCTGATAATGTTAAATAAATCTTATAGTTGGGGAGTCTCCAGGTGCAGAACTCACTATTGCCAGTTGTTAATGCTGCAGGTGCTACAGGGAAGAGGAGTAACTGGACTTGGGGTTTAGGAGTCAGATTAAGTAGTAAAACCCATACTAGAAAATATGCACAGCCAACAACTCATCAACTATTTTAATGCAATACATTACTTATTCTCCCGTCCCAAGAAAACATACTTGAAATTACGCAAATGTAATTGATTTGAGAGAGAGCTGAGGAAAACACTTATATTCAGTGGTAATCAAAAGACCCATATGGTAAAAAGCTGGTTCTTACAAGCACAAAACAGTGAAAAGTGTGAGTGGTTTCAGTTATTTCAGTGGGACATCTTTGTATTTTTTAAGATTTTGTGTGCAGCTCTAGCAATTCAAAGCCAACTTTCTTGGTACATGCTCCCGAGGTTGTCAGGTGTTCTGCCAATGCCAGCAGCTAGGCTTTACCTGTACACATTGTTTTGATCAATGAATAAAGAGCCCCTAAGGCCATTTCTGTAGTTCCTCAATTCACTTGTATTTGGCTCTTCACTTTGGTAAGACTGCCAGGAACAACACTACAAAAGAGCATTTAATATGAATGGCAAACACATACACAAATTAATAAATATTTTCAAAACTGCTTGAATCCAACAAAGCAAATGCACAAAAAGACATGGATTTCACACAAGAAAAATCCAGAACAAAACCTGGTTTCTGTTGTTGAATCCAGCAGCCCAACAGCATGGAGAAGGCAGCTGCAAATTTGTGCTCCCATGGCCAACAAGCAGCATGTGTTTCCAATAGGCACAGACACACAGATGTATACAGCACCTATACACATAAATACACGGCCAGACACAAATCAACCTATAAAAAACCCACAAGCCCCAGTGGCCTCATCCTGCTCCCCTATTCTGTCTGATTGATGTATTAGTAGGAAATACACACTTATGTATTTATGCAGTGGGGATCTCTCTAGCAGCTGAACTTAGGCACAGTCCACCCAGTGGCCTCTTATCCTGCTGCCACTGGGGCATGCAAGAAGCTCTGGAGGCCCAGAGCCCCTGTAATGTGCATGGGAATACCCTGGAAATTCCTCTGGGATTCCCCCAGCCACTGTTATTCGTCTGTGCTTTGTGTGTGTGTGCAGAAACCAGACTTTTATCAACAACCTAACAAAACCAGCCATCTTAGCTGCAATGAAGGAACTAGAAATGCACTTGTCTGAAATTGCAGTTTAAATCAGGAATGCTACCCACTGGTCATATGCATATGTTAGAGTCCCCACATCTGCTAATACATAGACTGGTAAATGAGAATCACTGGCCTGCTCTTCCAAATGCTCCATAGGAGATTTTTCAGTTTGAGGTGTATGGCCAAGTGCAGAGGAAAATAATTTGCCATCTCCAAACCATCCCTGATCTAGGAATGAGAGATCATCAGATTGTCGTCATGGACTGATGGTAATAAGGGACCCTTTGGGGAGGTTTTCACATTGCGGACTAAATTCTTAGGAGGATCTTGACTAGGAAAAATTCCTTTTGTTTTGTCCAGTTTCAATATTGAAGATTTGTACAAGCTGCTGAAATAAATATATTCTGTACTGAGAAGAGGCAATATCTGACCCTGTTTTCCCATATGGAAAGGACAGAGATCGCAAACCTCCCCTTACCCCTTCTTCAGTTCTAAGTTATGGCATTCTTCACAAAGAGCCTGTCAGGACCTGAGTGTTACCTCTGCCCTGTGTGAACCTACAGGTACAATCAGCTTGACCACTCCATCTCTACTTCCAGCCGTGGGGTGAAGGTCAAGTTGCACAGCCAAACCCACAACAGCCAAAGTGACCGTGAGTCCTCATGCAGCCACGGTGTTGGCAGCTCCAGCTGCTCTGGAAGGTGCACACAAACAGGGACACATATCTACCCAAGTGGAAAAGCCCTGCTTATTCCCCAAGAGGGTGGCCAAGAACCAGCTCTAGGGGAATGGGACTGAAAAATAGCAGTCAGCTAATTCAGAAGGATAGACATATAGACAAAATACAGAACTTTGAAAACTATATCCAGGAATATTTTTCTATCTTGCTGATGGGCTTAATTATTGTTTTTCAGAAAGGCAGTAAAATGTTCCAAGTTTCCAATGAAAATAAGTTCTAAACCTGTGAAGGGTTGTAATATTTTTTGAGCTCAGACCATTTGTTAGATAAATGTGGCCATTAGTTGAGCTGGTTGAAAAGAAACTTTAAAACAATCCTGTAAATATGAAACTAGGCATTATGTCTACAAGAATATATGCACCATTTGTTGAACTTAAAAACATAAGAAAAATGTATTTGATATAGCTGGCAGAACAGTAATTCCAAAGAGGAAAATGCTTTAGGGAAACTCAGAACAGACAGGACCCGGGAGACAGGTGTGAGTGAGGCTCATATGGAATGGTTACACTATCTTTTGAATCAAATTCAGGATACTGCAGGAAGTTCAATACACTTGCATATTTTTTTTCCATTGTGAGGTTGTCATGGTTTAGGAATTATATTCTCCAATTTAGTACTCCCACTAAAAAAAGCGAGTGATACTTCCTCTCCCTTCCCTCCAGTTGGAGGCACAAAAGGCAAAGTTCACAGGCTGAGGAAAGAACAATAAATATATCGTTTAACAATACAGTATATTGTTTAACAATAAGTATATTGAAAGAACAATAAGTATATTAGAAACAGCAATGAGATAAGAAAATGAACAGTAAGGACAGCAAAATTAATAATAAAAGAACACAAAAGAGAGAGTGATTCACATGTAAAAATTCTCACCATGGAGCATTCGACAATAAACAATACCAAATGGCCCCCCGACCATGATTTTTTTGACCAGAAGGAACCCCTTCTCCTTGGAACCAGAGGTCCATTTTCCCCTCCCCTGGCAATGATGTGAGGTGATATAGAATAACCTCAGTGTTCTAGCCATGGCCCTTACTGGCTGCTGTAAAAAAATGAACCCTGTCCTGGCTGAAACCAGGAAAAGGTGAAACTCCACCTGCCATTAAAAATAGTCAGACTAAGCTGAAAGAAATCCTCCATTGACACAGGTGCACTGAGCTGTGAAATAATCTCCCAAGGGAACACTGGACTCCTGGAATGTTTAAGCCATGACTAAATAAAAGGCTCTATGATACCATCAAGAATAATTCTGATAAAGAGAGGGAGTGAGGTCGTCTATTCCTATGGGTAGTTAGCTATATTTCTACCCTTCATTTATAGGAATCTACTTTCTCAATACATAAGTCAGGTGAACAGTATTATATTTAATTGTTCCAGAGGTGAACTGAGCATTAAAAGAAGCTGCAGATACTTTCAGGAGCTATGGTGTTCCTCTGCTAACCCACACTGGTTCTGGTAATACCAGCTGGGTTTCATACAACCCACCCAAGAAGCACAACACTGACCCGACAGACGTGCCCTTCCAATGGCCCTTGTGGTATAAAATGATGGTTTCATCTTGAACAAACTATCCCCAGCATGAGAAAAAAATCTCATCCCTACAATGGCACACACGGATTGTCCACAGAGAGACAGAGGCTGAATTGGCTGAAGCATGAACTGTTGTAACATGAGTTACAACACGATGGGTGGGTCTTTGTGTAAAAGTTTTTTCTTCAGTATGTATAGGTGATAGGATTTATTGCCCAGTAAAGCCAACCGTGATCAGCTCGTAAGCACTGAAATCATTCTATCCGAAGAAACCTAACTTTTTTAGCCTAATATTTAGGTTACTTATCCTCCAGCACCTGCAACAATTGCTTCTAAGTTTACCTGAAAATAGA